AAGTCCATGCACATAATACAGTACATTCAATGACACAAGGACAAACTTTTGAGTCAAATGCATGAAATAATATATTTCACCTGTTCAGTCGTGAAGATAACAAACTGTCTCGACTCTGCCAAGATAACAGTGTTCCACCTAACACACAGAAAAAAACAAAACAATGATAACAACATTTTCATGTTCACTTGAGAGTAACTTAAATTAGATGCTAATTAATTAGCATTGGTGTTAAGTATAGGTTAGTTAGTATAGGTCTTAAAAGTCAGAGTTTTCATTATGAGGGAGGATCCCTCCAACTCTGAGTGAGACTGAGAACAGCTGCAGGATGGGCTGACTGACAGAGAATAGGAATAAGTTAATTAGAAAAATGCTGTTTATTATTATTATTTTAATTTTTTCTTTTGATCAAATGAGGCTGTGGCAGGTCGAAGGTAGGTGCTGAACACAAGGGACTGAAGTTTGTTTTAAACATTGCTAAAAAACTACACTTTTTAATTTGTGACTAGAATTATAAGGCATACTGCACCAACACAGACCTAATGAGCTCGTCTTGATCAAGGACTTCCTCTATGGACTGCTGGGGATCGGAAAGCAGCAAGTCCAGCATTCTCACTGCTCCTCTCTCAAACAGAACAACAGGCTCTTGTTCAGGTGCAGACTGGACTCTCCAGATATCTGATGACACCTGGGGCAGGTGAGAATGGGCATTAACAAACTTTGATGCCCTAAAATAAAAATATTAAGCAATATTAAAAATTTAAGATTAAGGTTAAGACTTACCGTGGCTTTGAATGTCTTATCCAAGAGTACATCTCCTTCCTTCCAAATTCTGATAACCTTCAGTAAAACATGACCAAAAAACAAGATATCAGTAGGTGACAGACATTTCTGAAATGACGCACACTCACAAATACAGTGTTATTAAACACAAGACAAGCACAATCAAACACAAAAACATTCAAGGAAGAAAATCCCATCTCTGTGGTATACTAATTACAATTATTGTTTTACCCTCTTGTCTGAGATGGCAACATATTCCTTGGACTGGAAGTTGTAGACTGCAGGACAGGTCAGTGTCTGGCCTTGTTTTACAGTCCAGCTGCCCAGTGGCTTCTGGTCTGATACCTGTTGGAAATAAAACATTAGGAGGACAAAGAATATTGTTTTTCTAAGGAGGTAAAACAGCCTGGGGGTTTCTTCTGTCCAATTGTGTCTCCGTGACATTCTATGTAAGGTTATGGTTAACATTCAAGAGTAAATTACTGTTGTATTTATTGGGTTAAATTTTTATTTGAATGGATTGTTTTGCGCATTGGGATACATTTTGATTATCAAGATAACAATAAAAAAAGCATGACCCTCCTGGCAGACAACATAGGCTACAGACAATCTCTGAAGTTTCCCAACAAGGCTGTGAATTCGTTATAAACTTGATGTTTTTGTGTTTGCCTTGGCTTTAGTTGGACGTAGCTAATGTTAGCCACAGTGAACTGACTAGCGCTGCATGCTGTCGTAAACAAGCACCGTTTCTGTCCATTCTTCTTTTTAACTTTTGTGAATAAACGTATTACTGTCATCTCGGATATTTTTATGTGTGTCCTTTCTGGACAGCCATCTGTGTTTCTACAAAAAAGCAGTTTATATCTAAAGTTCACTGGTTTTACAGTAACACCTGGCTCATGGCTGAGGAGAGCTTCACCAAAACAAAAAGTTAAAAAACTCACCTTGTACAATGTGACAGATCTGGTTGAGTCTGTGACGACGACATGGTCATCGTCACGTTCCTGTTCAATGCCTCGAATTCCTAAATGAGAGGAAATTTGACTTTGAACAAGTCCGAACAACGTGTATCCCTCATACAAGGCAGCCATGCTGACGAGAGGAGAGAGACTCACTTACGATATCGCGAGAATAGACAGACGCCACCCGGAAATGATTCTTGTGTGACCTTTTGTGTGCGTATGTGTTTGTGTGTGTCTGCTTTGATATGTTGCTTTAATTTTTCAAATGAAAACGGTTAGGAAATGTCGTATGTCCATGCTGGTATGCCGGTGTATATTATTAAAAAGTAAATATTTACCAGTTAACTAATTAAATAATTCATTTTCCCCAGTTATTTAATCAGCTGCGTGTTGCATTTTTCTAAAGGAGTTTTTGGTGAATCAGGGCTTCTAGTACGGTTGTCTTAGTGTCAACAAAACTTTTATGTACAACGACAATAAATGTAATTCTTTTTCTTCTAAAATACACCATTAAATTCATTTAATTTTAACTATGAAGCTTTCTATTTTTTCAATTGTCTCGTTTACCGTTTGATGTCATCAGCAAATCTTTCTTAAACTTGTGTTGATGTATTGTTAGCATTAAGATTTGCTAATTGAAAAGTTGACGTAAGTAATACAGTGTAAGAAATGTTCTGGTCCCATGTTCAATGTCTGACGGGAGTTGACTAGAATAGAGGTTACATTTAAGCAAACTTTGTACTACAAAGAGTAACAAAAACAAAAAAATACAAAGTTAGGGTTACATTTAGCAAAACAAAATAGATCTGCATAAAGCACAGAAAAATAAATTACCCCCCTACCAACATATATTTATTATTTGTTTACTATATCTAATCATTGTCTAATCCAGTTTTTTTTCCAGGTATGCAGTGTAAAATTGTCCAATTTAATTAAAATAGTCTGAAAACTATTAAATTATTTATTTACTGCTAATAATTTGTCTTGATTTTTCTTTTTGACAGTAACGAAATTAAATACTCTACACTAGATAGCAGCAGATGCTTATTAACAAAAATATGTCCAAGCCTACTGGACTGTTCTGCGGGGTACCACAGGGTTCCTTGTTAGGGCCAATTTTATTCGTAATGTATATTTTCCCAAATAGTTCAACATTTAAATATTGTCTAGCACTAGTGTGCTGCTGACATTTATCTGTACGGTGACTGTGACAAGACATAACAGGCTTTTTGTACTTTTCTTTTGTACAGTTGTTTTTCACATATAGCTATTCATTGTTTGAATTTTTTAATCTGATTGATCACAGGTTGGCTGTGAATCATAATTAATCATGGTCATAATAAAGCATTTTTTCTAAATTATTGCACAAAAGAAAGATGAGAGAAATGTTTTAGTTTAAGATGTAGGTATTTGACACCTGGTTTTTTTTTATTTGTGACTAATCCAGTTAATACAAAACATCAGGTAGATCTTGTAGTATCTGCAGGGCTTGTGGAGTTGGCAGCACACATCGTGATTTCAGAAGGAAGGGTTTTGGGTCTCAGGGTGTATTCCATTCTTCCTGGTTCTAAAAGCAAACAGAACATGAAATTACTGTGATAAATGTGTTTGTATCACCTGGATGACTATTGAAGTATTTGCCTAAGGTATACTTATACAAGAGGTTCTACTTTATCTTTGAAAATGTTGAACCCTAATAATTCTACTAATCTGTTAATAGCTCACCTTCAAAGCACTCTGGGAGGGGTAGGGTCCCATCATTGCAGATGCTTGCCACTGGATAGCCACACCGCTCAGTCTTGTTCAGACAGTAGAAGACCACAGGTTCTCCATGGAGAACTCTGTTGGGTTTCAGGTCTGCAATCCAGAGCTTCCTTCCATTGTAGAAAATACGGCCTCTCTTGATGCCAACTGCACATGGTGCTGGATGGTAAATAGACAGAGTGGTGTTAGCATTTAAAGGTGTTTTGATATCAATATTGATTTCAAACACCTAAAAGACACAGTTGGGTTGAATACTAACTAATTCCTGAAATGAAAATGTTCATTAGTTACGCTTATTTGGACCTAGTAATAAGGGATTTCCGATAATATCAACCGACCAATATTATCGGTCTATATTAGCATATTATGTAATGAAATAATAATAAAAACCCCATGACACTAGCCTGGGTTTCACCAAATGGTTTTAGTGTGCCCTAAACATAGTTTTGGGGATAAACAGCTGTATATTAAAGTGGAAGTCACTAGATGGCAGCATTGCAGCACATTTAATTAATGTCATATTTATACAGTGGTTTGTGCAGATAAATAAATATTACCAGGCCTACATCGGTATCAGTTTATATCATAATCGGAAATGAAGTGTATGGACATTATCAGCATATCGAATACTGGCAAATAGTTAATACCGGACATCCCTACTTGTAATAGTTGAAACTTTAAATTAGGTGACTGACCTCTGCAGACAGGTTTGGTAGACCAGGTTCCTGAGTTCTGGCACTTTACTTCAGCCTCACCATGCAGAATGTAGTGCTCATTACAGGCATATTTAACCTTTTCCTTATAGCTGTGCTGTCTCATTACTGCAAAGGTGATGAAGCCATTGGCTATGCGTCCTGGAATAGGGCAGCTGACGTCTGGAATCAATCATAGTCAGATATATTGTAAAACAGTTTGTCAAGCACTTTAATTTAGAAACTGAACAAACGTGTTGTGGTGTTTTGGCAGAGTCGTAAACTAATGAAAGAATGTTTCATTACCTCTGCACACCGGTGGCTCAGTTGAGGTTCCATCAGCCATGCAGGACCCTTCTTCGTGACTTGGTGCTTTTGGTGGGTTGCACTCATATGTCCATTTTTGACCATACATGACAGTATTTCCTGTGAGAGTCTTTTCATGGACAATTCTTCCGTCTTTTGGTGGCTTAGGCAGTGGACAGTACACAGCTGAAAGGACATAAAACAACAACATGAACACAACAAAACATGTTTTTTCTGCCTCTAAATAAACACAAATATTACTACCCTGAAAAACAATAATGTGCGGCCCTTTATTTTCAGTCTGTCTGTCTAAGTATGGTCTTATACCTTTACACATAGGGGGAGGACTGCTCCAGGTACCATCATGTAAACACCTGCTCTCATTGGCTCCCTGCATGACATACCTGGTG